AATCAGCTCATGATTATGCTCTCCCCATATAAGCTGGGTGAGAGCTTCCCTCTGAGCCGGATTGTTGTCCTTTCCATGGTTAAGCAAGCCTGAGCCACCCTGCCTGTCTGAACCTCTGTTTGCCTGTAAACCTTTCTGCGTTTGGGCTAGAAATCCTGCCTGATCATGACAGATTTAATAAAATCATATTTTAATTAATGAGTTTCATATTAACTTATTTAATCGGAACTTATTCATTCATTTGTTTTATTTCAAAATATCATTTTTATTTTGATAAGCATGAATAGTGAATATTTTCTACTCAATATTCTATTCATCAAACGTTGAACCTGTTGGTGCTCGATGACACACCTGGTGGGATTCCTTACGCTTACAAATCTTGTCCACTGGATGTCCAGAAGACTGTTTCTGCCAGGTTTCGAACAAGGGGACTTTTTTGCGTGTAGGCAAAGGTGATGACTACTACATTACAGAAACACCCCTTAATCCATCCATTTTCCATCACGCTTTATGCCTGCTGGGGTCACTAGGGGTGGTGGTGCCTATCTCCAGCTGTCTACGGGTGAGGGACGGGGTCCACCATGGACAGGTCTCCAGTCCATCCCAGGGCAAATCAGAGACAAACAACCAGTCACACACATACTCACACCTAAGGAGAATTTAGAGAAGCCTAGTCATGTTTTTGGACTGTGAGACGAAGCTGGAGTACCCAGAGAGAACCCACGCATGCTCAGGGAGAACATGCAAACTCCATGCAGAGAGACCCCAAGCCGGGAATTTAACCTGCAACCATATTGCTGCAACGCAGCAGTGCAACCCACTGCACCACTGAGCATTCTCATAATAAAATATATATTTGCTGCATCAAAATCAGAGCCTTTGGCTGTAAGAGAACCTGAATGGTTATAGATTTAATGTTTAAAGTCATGAATGAAAACAGAATGAGACAGTCGTACCTTTTGCTGGAGAACATAAAGAGAAGTTACAGTTTTTATCCCGTTATGCTCCCTCACATCATCTGTAAAGGAGAACACATCTGGCTGTTATGCTGAGGTGAAGTTTATTTCATCTAAAAGCTCAAATATGACCATTTTACCTCTCTGTTTTAGCTGTGTGTGATAAGAGGGTCCATAAATCCTGGAATTTCTAGATTTCTGTCTGGACCTAAGATTAAAAAAAAACAACATGACTAAACATGCAGGGGTTGTGCTGCATTGGCTCTGAACTCTTTTAGAGGTGATATTCCTCTCAAGTATGGTTGGCTAACACACTGGGAAAAAATTGAATTCTAGATAAGTCATTTTTTTCTTAAAATACGTGCATTTGTTCTTGGATTGAGGAGGTAAAAGAGATATTTAGCCAATGGAACAAGACAATTTACAGTTAAAATAAGAAAATACAATTGCATTGTCTCATTCCGAGTACATATTATCTTTTAAGAGTAAAAACATTGATTCCATTGGCAAACTATCTCATTTACCTGCTCAAATTAATGGTAAATACACTTAATTTAAGAAATTTTTACTTATTTCTAGATCATTTTTCCAGTGTAGGTAAATATCAAGACTTACTTTTTAGTGGGAGTCCAGCATGCACACACCGTCACCAGCGTGATGAAGATGAAGATTCCCCCAGTGGAAAGGATAATGTAGACAGAGCTTCTTCCTGGTGAA